TTCTAATGAAGGAAAGGCATATGAAGATTAAATATTAAAACATAACAAACAAAACAGTCACAGAAAAGGGAAGAACTAATGGTAAATTTTACAATTTCCAATTCTGAAGTCACTGTAGGTAAAAGAAGTCTAGTTTTAGAATTAGAGTCAGGGACAAAAAAAGGTTCAGAGTTTGTATTAAACAGTCATACTAATTAATCACTTTATTCTCTTAGCTAATTATAAAATATTAATGATGGTGATAAAAAAATAAAATGGTGATTATGTGTCAAACACTCCAAGACATGTGTGTCTTTGTGTATACATGTGTGTTTGTGTCTCATGTAGATCACAGTACATTAGTAACATAACTTTATTATTCTTACATTACAGGAGATGAAACTAAGGCACAAAGGGTTAAGCAGGTGGAGTAAAATCTCATAACTTACTTTTGCTAAACCAAGTTTACAGCCAAGACTTTCTGGTTCTTGGACTTTTGTTTTTTGTTTTGCTTTTAAGCTATAATAAAGTATGGCCTATGTGTATCACATTTACTCACCTTACTGTATAATGATATTTGACAAATTTACAAAGATACAATCATTATCACAATCATAAGTAGAATATTTTCATTAATCCAAAAAGATGTTTCATGTCTATAATGTAGTCTATCTTGAACCTACCATCACTCTGAAACTATACCTTTCACTCTGAAACTGTATCTGCTTTACCTATAGATATCTTTTCTGAGTATTTCATAGAAGTGGAATCATACATGGTAGTCTTTTGAATCAAGCTTTCTTTACTCAGCACACACTTTTTGAGAATAATCTCTATAATGCAGCATGCATTTATAGATTATTTCCCTTTACTTCCTAATAGTTACTCATCAGCTAGCAGGCATTTGAGTTTTATCCTACTTTTGGTTATTATAAATGTTGTGGCTATAGTCATTTGCTAAAAGTCTTTGTGTGGGTATAAATTTTTAATTCTCTTGGGTATATACCTAGTATCAAAGCTACTTCATATGAAAAATTAATGTGCAATTTTTTTGAGAAATTGTACAACTTTTTCAAAGTGGTCTAACACTTTTCATTTCATATCCAGTGATGAGAATTGCATTCTCCATATACTCATTAACACTCACATACAGCTCAAGATTTCCACCCTACACTCTATAGTCTTTCTGAAACTATGCACATGTCACTGAATATTGGAGTGGAAGACATGGAGGGAAGGGGACAGAAATTAAGCAAATGAGGAAATGAGGGAGACAGCTCCTATATATTTTCAAAGAAATTTAGTTTTGCTTCACTTCTCTTCTGCTTTAAAACTCTAGGAGTTTTAGCATAAAATTATTAAAAGCCTTTGAGGTTTTGGCATAAAATTGAGATGAAGAGTTTTTCCATATAACCTCTGTTCCACATAGAAAAGGTTCCCATGCCATAATTATTAGCATCCCATACATTTGTCACAACAGGTAAATCTACATTGATCATAATCACCTTACACCTATAATTTATATTAGGATTCATTCTTGCTATTATAGATTCTTTGGGTTTGGACAAATGTAAAACTGCATGTATTTATCATAGAGAGTAGATTACCCTAAAAATTCTCTGTGTTCTAACTATTCATCCCATCTTCCTCTATGATCTTTGGAAACCACTTAACCTTTTTGTAAGATTTACTTATTTATGCATGTAGAACTGGGGTACAGGCTAGAGGTGCAGGGGTGGTGAGAGGATTCACCAGAGACAGAGTGGGGAGCAGAACAGGCAGACCAATGAAGTATACTGCTGAGGGAGCAGTGGGTGAAACAAGAGAGGTCTGCTGTGCCATGTTGGTCACCTCCGGGACCAGGGTTCGAAATCTCAGTGAAGTAGTTTTGTTAGCTTCTTAGTGTTGTGCTTTTAACCCACTGTGCCACTAAGGAGCACCCAAAACCACTACACTTTTAATTGTTCCTATAGTTTACTTTTCCCTTTTCTACAATGTAACTTAGTTGACACAATATTGAGTATACTCAATAACTTAAGTATGTAGCTTTTTAGAATGACTTTTTCACTTGTTAATGTACATGTTCAGTTTCCTTTATAGCTTTTTAAGATTTAATTTCTTTCAGGACTTGATTTCTTTGTTGATCTAAATGATACCTTATTGTTTGTATGCATCACAGTTTCTTACCTACTTACTGACTAAAAGAATACTTAGTTGCTTCCAAGTTTTGGCATTATGAGGCCAAATATAAACATCTGTCTATGGATAACTGGATAAAGTTTCTAGCAATGTTAGATAAATATTATAGAGTATGACTGGCACACTTTATGGTAAGACAATACTCAATTTTTTGAGAATACACCAAACTGTCTTCTAAAAACAGTTTTATTTTTTCCTTCTATTCATATATTTACATCTGTAAACACATGAAGACATCTATCAATCAATGTATCTATATTTAGATATATGTGTAGATATATATTTGCCCTTGTCATATTGTATAAGTTAGGACTTTCAAAGGAAACCTAAAGAAACTGAAAGATTCCCTCTGGCTGTAGCAAGCAAAGAAAAGGAAATGTAGATCAATTTGTTAGCTGTGAGGAAAGACATTATTCCATCTACCTGAAGGAGTTAGGAGTTAGATTTTTTTTTCTGTTGCCGCCAGACCAGAGCTTAAAATCCTGATCTCTGACCATCTGAGTGTGTAAGTAGAAAATCAGTCATTAAAATCCTAATACATTCACCAAAAAGCAAAATGCACATAAACTCAGATACAACAATCTCACAGATAATATGTATGGAAAGATAGAAGTGATTCTTTCAATATGTGTTCAGAAGTACTTAGTGGGCAATGTTTGTAAAAAAACAAAAATCCCCAAATAATGAAAATATAAACATAAATGGTAGATTGGTTAGATGAATTGTATAAATCAGTACAGAGGAATATTCTGCATTCATTATAAAGAAAACATAGAATGACATGGATGAATATGTATAATGAGACTGTAAGCTACATTAACTAATAATAAAAAATTGTCTGAAAGTTTTATAATATGATACTTTAATAAGTAAATTTAAAGTATTTGCATGAAATCAAACATGCTTAAACATTTTCATGGAAAGAAGCATGAACAAAATAGCAATTAGCCTTAGGATAGGATTAGATTCCATAGTGGTCAATCTATACTTTTATACCTTTTATTACATTTGGAATTTTCCCATGAAATTTATTGTCCATATCCATTTAAAAATGTGACAAGAACTACTGGTCCATGTGTAACTAAGCACTTCTGTAGCTCTCCTATAAAGCTATCCTCCTTTGTTTTGTTCACCTTAAGATATACCACCTGGCCTTGGTCATGTATGCTCCTTTAGTCACACATCATTTAAAAGCAAAATTGCTTCCTCATCAAGTATGCCCATTCTTTAAATTTAAGTTTCTCAGGGACATCCCTTGATAATTTTGAACATCATTTTTACCTGAATGCTTATATGCAGTCATAATATTTAAACATCCTATTTTTTAAAAATTATAAACTATTAATTTTGTTTTGAAGTTTCAAGCTATATCTTTTCAGTTTTATATAGCTATATTAAAAACTGCTTCAAGATTCATATCAGTCATAATATTTAAACATCCTATTTTTAAAAAATTATAAACTATTAATTTTGTTTTGAAGTTTCAAGCTATATCTTCAGTTTTTTATAGCTGTATTAAAAACTGCTTCAAGATTCAGATCATAAACAGTATAAACCATGAAAATATACAATGCACCTAACTAGATGATGTCATCCTGATGAGGATGAAGACTATGATCTAAGAATCCTGCAATTACATGATAATATCAAGTAACCACTGTTAAATTGAGACCAATTATCTTTAGATAATGGAAGAATTATGTGAACAGTTTTTGATAAGTAATCCACAATATTATATTTATTTAAAATATTCTAATTAAAATTACAAATATTTTCCATATTCCTTGAAATTTCTTTAACATGAGTAAATTTATAGTAAGTAATCTTAGTGAAAACACAGCTAGTTTATACTGTTAAATTGTCAGTTAATTTACTTTTGCCAATATTAAGGCTGTTTAGGTAGTCACTGAATGGTTACTGAATTGAATTGAACTAAGAATAGTATAGAACATCCTAAGAGTTATCTCAGTGACCTGAACTCAGGAGTTGGTAGGTGGGTGGGTAGGTGAATAGGTAGGTTGGTGAGTGGATGGTGGGATGTATGGACAGATGGATGGATGATGGACGGGCGGACGGATGGATGGAGAGATAAAAATGAGTAAATAGTTGTTAAAGGAAACAGCAAATTCCTTTCAATTCTTAAATTTGTATTTGTAAACTTATATTTGTACTTATAAAGATCAACTTTTTTCCTTTGATTATATTTTTATAAAAGGAAGAAGCACTTAAAACTATCAGTTCAAGGTTATCATTTTTTGTTGGCCAAAGTACTAAATAAGTTATTTCTCTAGACACTTTTTATTACTTAAACATATAATTAATTTTCATATGTAAATATACTATAATATCTCACTTTGAATAAAAAGTGATTTTCTATTTACTAGAAAATCACAAGGTATTATGAAGTAGAAAATTACTGAATATGTATATATGCTTTGTAATAATAATAAAAAAAGAAAAGATAAATCCAGGCCCTCCCTAGTGGCACAATGGGTTAGAACGCAGCACTGCAAGCTGGAGGCAACCGTTTCAGTGCAAGTTCGATCCCCAGCCCTGGAGGTAACCACATGGCGTGGCAGACCTCTCCTGGCCTGACCGCTGCTCCCCTCAGCAGTGTACTTCCTCAATCTGCCTGTTTTGTCCTCCTACTCTCTCTCTGATGAAGACTCTCACCGCCCCTGTACCTCTGCTTGTACCCTAGCTCTGTATGAATAATTCTTTAAAAAAAAAAAAGATAAATTCTTGCAAACATCACAAGAAACAATAAAAATCACTTCATATACAAATAAAACATGACATTAAAATATCTAAAATCATATTACCTGGAATCAGTTCCATAATGATGTAAATTGGCTGTCTTTGTGTGCAAACTCCTATAAGTTTGACAATGTTAGGATGATCATATTGCTTGAGAATTCTGCATGAAAGAAAAGTATATGAATAGTTACTATTTAAATAATGATTTACTGATGATATGAAGAGTATAAATGCTTTGATAAATATAAGTTATTTTAAAATTTCAGTATGAATCATTATAATAAATGTGATGCACATGTTTAGAGAAATATTTGGTGACACAAATGACCCAATTTTCCTCAATTCAATTATATTTCATTTAGAAGTTATCATCTTCTCTGAATGACTAACAGCCATGCTAACAGAATTAACCTACTTAGTGCAACACATGTGGAACTTCTTTCAAAGTATCAGGTTGTAGCCACCACCACAAAAGTATAGCTAGGCAGTATTAGAGGGCAAAAAATTGCAAAAGCTAGAGTTTGATGCATTTGTTTTTTCACATACCTGACTTAAATACCTTAAAATGGGAATATAATTATTTCTCATAAATGTGATAGGATAATTTGTTATTTTATTAGATTTGGTAATTCCTTCATCAAAATGATCAACTTCAAATTGTAAAATTTCAAAAATATTTTTGAAAAGCCTATTAAATAATAATTGAGTAACAGATTTACAATACAAACTTAAGCTGAAGCAGAAAAGATTTGGTTTCAGATAAAAGCAACATCATTGGACAGTCCTAGAAATGGCAGACTTATACAAAGAACTGTAAACCTGAGTCAGATACCTCTTTACCCTGAGGATTTCTAGATCAAATTTTATTGCATAGTCTATTGACAAGGTTTTATTCATACTTTACAGATGCAGTCCTTTTGTAGTAGAGTGTAAAAAAATCTTATTTAGAGAATGATGAAACAAAGTTTATATAAATCTTTTACATGTAAAATTAAAAAAGGGATAGTACTAAAAAGAATGCTTTAGATTGAATATATATAATAATTTATATGAAAAGACAGACTGAGAAGAAATTTTAGAGATAAGAGAAATAGTCTGTCAATAGTTTTGAGGGGTTTAAAAGTTTAGAAAGTTTCATTTTAATCCAAAAAATCAGTTTTTCAGATGGAAAGTATTTAATGAATTTCACAAAACAGCCAGCATGAATGCAAATAATATTAAATAGCTAAATATATACCACTAGTCTATAAAAAGACACTTAGGAGTATATAACTTTATAAATTTCATTTCAATATAATTTTCTTACAAGCAGAATTAAAGCCTAATTAGTAATAAAATAATAACAAATTAGAAAATAACATTAAATATTTTAAAAGAATTTTAGATATAAATTTCTGCTTTAAAGTACCAATAAATTACTACAATGAGTTTATAAATTTCCTTTGTGAAGTATGGTGTAAAATACATGATAAAATATTTATACTGATTTGCCAGTAATATATATGCTAAAACTTCGTCACATAGATAAAATTTAATAACAATCTATTGCTATCAATATCCATTTTTCAATGAATGCTTGCTGTGAAGGTATTCTCTCATTGAGTGTCCTTTGATCTCCCTCAGAACTTTACAGAAATTGTCTTGATTAAAGCCACACTGTCTTAATTAAAAGTACACACTTATGTGCACATGCTCACACACATGTGCACACACACACACACCTTCCCCTGCAGCCCATTTGTACCACAAATTTATGGATCCAAGAATCCTCTTTGTCTGTTCAGCTAGAGTCAGCCAGCTAGCTTCCATCCCTGTGCCCATTTTCACTCTGCCCAACCACTGTTTCAATTGGTTAGTGTTTTGTTGTGTATATTCAATTTTATCACCAACAGAACAGCTTTAACTGGTTGGAACATTACATTTTAGCTAATAAAAAAAAAAAAAGGTCAAGGCAATCATCCCAGAAGATCGGTTAGTAAAAGAAACAATAATGCAAATTGTGGATAAATGGTAGATACTGAGCTGAAGAAATTTGAGGTTCTCAGAATTAATGCTAAGTACTTGGAAAAGAGAACCAAGTGATAATATCTAAGAGGGATAATATATCTAGATATGTATGTGTACAAGTTATAGAATTTATAACAGAATAAAGTAATACTTTTTCTATAAAGACAATTTCAACACTTTATTTCCAAATATATATGCATGTGCATTGTGACAAAAGGAAAAATTACTGCTGTATTTTTAAGACTTTAACACCTGCTAACTGCTTTTTGGCATCTGATTCTTCTTTGATTACCAAAATGATCTATAGTCAAACTCAAAATCATTTCCACATTGTGTAAAATGTTTACTTGAAGATTCTGAAAGTGAAAGTCACAATTAAGATAATCTTCAAACTCAATTTTAATGAACCACTTTTATAAATACACATTGTATATTACTTAGAAAAAACTCACTTGGCTTCTTGCAAAAATTTTATTTTCAGTTCCTGAGGAAGATCTTCTTTACATGTTTTAACAGCAACAGGAATTTTATCCTTTAATATTCCTTTATATACTTCACCAAAATTTCCCTGAAAATACAAAATCATTTACTGCTTTTGAGATATAAAACAGTCACATAAATATTTGTAAAATACAAGGAAAGTCTCTGATAAATTTCAAGTTTATCAAAGTACTCTGTTAGCTTTATTCAGAGTCTTAAGTGGAAATTAGAATAGAAATGTTTTGATACCAATCCTCCAACATAGAAACCATATGGGAAGTTGAAGTTTAAGGAATACTGAAAATAAAATAAAGGGGGAAAGAGAATACGCGAAGAAACTAGGACAAATCTCTTATTTTCCAAATGTTGATTATTCATCTGTAGTACGACTAGGGAGATGACTTTGGGATTGGGAATACTCAAATTAATTTTCTATATAAGTTAATGCTAATAACATTTCCAGATTCCAGCACCCCCCAAAATCTACCAAATACGAATATTCCACTTTTGGACAGTGTACATACTTTGGCAAATTTGTACATTTCATTCCACTAGTTTCGTTCCACTAATTCTCTTTACTCCATAAGCTCTAAAGTTCATTGGATAAAAATAATATTCTTTATTGTTTTTAGATAAAGCAAAGATTCTCTGAGGTGACTGTAGGTATTGTGCCTCACTTGCCAGCTGAAGAGTATGAGAGGGAGAGAACAGAGGAGAGGCAGCAGAAACACGGCAGGTGGAGGATGCCACAGCCTCTGCAGAAGTTGTCAATCCCTGACGGTACCAGCAAAAAGCACTGACCCAAGTGTCAATGTCACTGTAATGAACTGATTTTGAGCAGATGTATTATTAATTTCCTAAAATTAGTCTATAAGTAGCACATAGTTTTACTTCATATGTTTTTGGTATGAAGATAATTCATTTTTCTGTTATAAATATAAAACTAAGTACTACAGATATTTGTAAGGTTAAAACCTATTTTTAGTATTCGTTTTTCTTTGTATGCATATATATTTTTATATAGCTATGCTGATATTAGTAAACACTGTATTATAAAAAAGTTTAAGTGTTATTGTTGAGCAAGAAGTAACTGAAGGAGGAATCTGCTAGAAACTGAGTTTGGGAGTTCAAAGATCAATGCAATTCTTATACAACAGATCGGGATATATATATTTTAACTTATGACTAAGATAAAAATCTTATTTCAGCTACTAAAATATTTTAAATATTGTTTTAGTACTTTACTTGATTTCACTGTTTTACATATTTTATTTAACATTTGAAGTATACTTTGATGTTTAAAATTTGAATTTAACATTATATATTTTTAATTGCAGTAACAGTTTAAAACACTACATAATGTTTCAGAAATACAATTTCTTATCTCAGCAACATTAACACACCATACCCCAATATCAAGTGTCCAGTCATAATCCACCATTATCTAATTGTTCCCCTATACTTCTTCCCACTACCTTCCTTCCCTGCTGGTAACCACCATTCTGTTTGAGTCAAGAGTTTTTGTTTTATTTCAGTTAGGTTCAACTGATTTTCTCCTCTTTATATACTCAAACGAGTTACATCACACAGTAATTACATTTCTCCGTTTGTCTTATTATATCCGTAGTATAATGCCCTCAAGGTACATCCGTGTTATTGTAAATGGCTATGTTTCATCTTTGCCATTACTCAGTAGTATTCCACCATATGCCACAACTTCTATATTCATTCATCTATAACTGGGACTTTATTTTGTTTCCAAATCTTGACTACTGTGAATAACGTTGCAATAAGCACAGAGGTGAATAAATCCGTTTCAATCAGTGTTTTCATATTTATCAGATAAATGTCCAGAAGTGGAATTACTGGCTCCTATGGCAGTTCTATTTTAAATTTTTGAGGAACCTCCACACAGTTTTCTATAGTGGCTTAATCAATTGGTATTCCCATCACATTCTCCATGTTCTTGGCAAAAATTATTTTTTGTTACTTTTTTATAACAGTCATCATAATAAATGTGAGGTGAAATCTCACTGTAGTTTAGAGTTGCTTTTCATTAATAGTAAGTGAAGCACAGCATCTTTTTCCCCCTTAATTGAGGCAACATTGGTTTACAACACTGTATGTGATTTAGTAGGTTAGGTTCATACCTCTTTAGACTTAAGTTACCACAGCACATCTACATTCAAAGTACCCATAGCCATTTACCATGGACAACTGGACACCCTCTCCTCTTTGGTCTCATCTTCACCTTTTCTCCCCTTCTGATAGGTTCAACTCTGAAGTAACATTTCTTGAATGTGTTTGATTTAGTTTGCTTCAGTCTGTATGACTTAGCATGTTTGTTTTTCATTTGTTTCTACATATTCCATACATAAATGAAGTCACGAGTACTTGTTTTCTCCTCCCAACGTGTTTCACTAAGCATATTCTTCTCCAGCTCCACCACTATGCTGTGAATGGCAAGTTCATCCTTTTTTAATAGCTGGTTAGTCATCCATTATGTCTATGTATGTACCACTTATTCTTAAATCCACTGCTCTGTTACTGAGCACTTAGTTTGCTTTCATAACTAGACTATTATAAACAGTGCAGCAATGTTGTATTGGCTATTTTGTGTTAATTGGGTAGATACCTACGAATAGAATTACCAGATTACATAGTCTATGTATATTTAATATTTTGAGAAACTGCTACTCTGCTTTTCATAATGAATGGAGCAGTCTACATTGCCACAAACAGTGTACAAAGTCCACATCACCACTAACATTTTTGTTTCTGGTTTTCTTGGGGTTTTTCTGACATGGGACATTCAAACTAGACTGAGGTGTTTTGTCACTGTGATTTTGATTTTCATTTCCCTGATTATATGTAAAGTTGAACATTTTTTTTCATATGCCAGTTAGCAATCTTTATGTCTTCTTGAAGAACAGTATATTATAAGCTCTGTGTTCATGTTAAATAGATTCAAGCATAGTGAACAATATGATTTTGGATACTAGTCTCTCATTGGCTCTATGAAACACAAATGATTTTGCCCATAGGGGTTTTTATGTTTTAATGATATTGTTTTCCCGATTCAGAGGCTTTTTATTATCATATAGTCCCATTTGTTTATTTTTGTTTTTTTCTTCCTTGCCATTAAATTAGGACCTCAAAGACATACTTGAGGTTAATGGTGGCTGAATTTTCTTCTATGTATTTAAATTCCCTGATTTGCATCCAAGTTTTTAATGCATATTGAATTAACTTTTTTGCATGGAATAAGAGAGTGATCTAGTTTCATTCTTTTACATGTAACTGTCCAGTTTTCCCAGCACCATTTTTCTTAAAAGATTTTACTTTCTCCTTTCTATACTCTTGGCCCCTTTGTCATACATTAACTGTCCATATAAATGTGGGTTTGTTTCTTAGTTCTCAATTTTATTCCATTGTTCTTTGCCTATGTCCAATAACACACTGTTTTGACTACTAGACCCTGGAAGTATAGTTTGAAGTTTGGGGTCTTTTGTGTTTCTATATGAATTTAAGTAACATTTTCTCTATTTCTCTAAAGAGCTTCATTTAAAATGGGCTTGCATCCAATCTATATATTGCTTTGGGAAAGATGGACACTTCTAGCAATGGTAATTCTTACAATCCATGAGCATGGGCTATCTTTCCGTTTACCTGTTTATTCTATTTATTTTATGTTTAATAGTTTTCTATTGAATAATTCTTGTCACTTTCTTCTTTAGATTTATCCCTAAGTAGTTAATAATAATGGAGGCTTCTGTAAGCAGGATTGTTTTCTTGGCTTTCTTTCTTTTCTAGTTCATTATTTGCATATAGAAACATAACAGACTTGCTTATTGATTTTGTAGCCTGCCACTTTACTACACCAATTTAGTGTAGGGTTTTCTATACATATTATCATGACATCTGCAGGAAATCATAGTGAACTTTTTTCCAACTTGAAAATTTGCTAGTTTTAGTACTGTTCTTTTTGATTTAGATCTTTTGCATTTAGGTAATGAGATGTTCTTTTAGCTTCATGTACTGTTATATTTAAATACTTTCCCAGATATTGGAAACTTTCTTTTATTACTTCTTTGAATGGGCCTTTTGTTCCTTTCTCTCTTTTCTCTTCCTGGAATACCCAGGTTGATTTTCTTAATGGTGTCAGAAATTTCTTAAATTCCCTTTAATTTTATTTATATATCCTTTCTTTGTTTTCTTGTACCATATTTCACTCCTATCTTCAATGTTACTGATTCTATCCTCCACTTAATTGTTCTATCTCCATAGATTTTTGTAGTTTTAATCTCATTTACTCAGCTCTTTACCTTCAGACTTTGTTACTTTATTTAAAGCTTAAATTTCTACCTTCTGTTCACTGATTTATTCCTGAGATCATTGTTTTTTATGAATTCTGTTGTTTCTTTTATTAGCTTTCTGAGTTATCTTTTATAGCTTTGACTTGTTTCTCTGAGTTCTCATGAATTATTTTCTCTTGCTTCTAGAGTTATCCCATACTTCTTTGACTTACTTTTTATAGCAGTTCTAAACTTTCAATCTGACAAGAGGGTATAATTTTTCATTTTTGTGTTTGCTCTCTGGAGATTTGTTCTTATCTTAATATATCATATTTTCTTTGGGTCACATATTTTCATCTGTTATATTTTTTCATCTGGCCATTTCACTACTTGAGGTCTTCCTATATTATATTAGCTTAAGCAGAAAATTAAGGGATTAAATTGTTTTAATTTTCCCACAAATGTGTTTGCGATTTTGATTGAAATTATTAATTCATTTATTCTGTATGTACTCAGACTTCTGTATGTATTCAGGCCTCTTTTGTAGTTGCTTAGTCAGTTCAGTGGGGAGGGGCTTGGAGGGATTTAGATGTTGGTATGGATGAACTATGGTGGAGGGAGTGTATGTTTGTGGCACTCTCGATATCTTTTCTTTTAAAAAAATTATTTATTTATGAATATAAGAACTGGGGTACAGTCAAGAGATGCAGGGGAATGAGAGTATTCACCAGAGACAGAGTAGGGAACAGAAAAGGTGAATTAACTCAATCCTGAGGGGAACAGTAGACAAGAC